AACCCCAGTCTAGACCGGAGAATTATGACCTCATATAATTTTAGTCACCCCGCCAAACATTACGTCTTATTTGGTCTGAAGTATGCGAAATGAAGAATAACGAATAATCCCACATAAGCAGTACGTGATCATTTCGGCTAAGGGGCGACATGGAAGTGATCTTGTCTATGAAGAAGGAGATACGATCAACGGGACAAGAGCTTTATTAGCCTGATGTTTAGGATTGCTGCTCGAACCCATCATCAGAGACAATAGTAGCTATGGATTGTACAAGCAAAAAAGGGCTGCAGTATTTATAGGATGCAGTCGCCATGCTGCAGCAGGCCTATGAAAATCCACGGCTCTCCACCTTCACCAGTGATTGTTGCACTTGTTGCAGTTCGCCTTTTGTCCTTCACGTGTTCTCTTTGGAAACGTTACGTGTTGTGTAAGGGAGAATTTAATGTTTTTTTCAGAAGATAGTAATCGAATGCAGATTTTGGACCTAACTCGTGGAGGCTGTTCCAGTTAATTCCATGAATCCCGAAATCGGTGTGCCCTTCAACCGTTCGTAGATTGTCTCGTCGAACGTGACGTACGTCCAGAGACAGAAATTCGGGAGTTGAAGAAATTGGGCATGTCCAAGACGATCCTCTGTTTCACCGTATTTGCACATTAATGGGTTCGCCGATTTCGGGATTCATCGCCGAGGCAGTCCTAGAACGGTTGGAGTCACTGGTTTTCCAACTCCACAGACCGAAGATCTGGGTCCGTTATGCGGATGATACCTTCGTCGTTATCGACCGGGGTCAACTGCTGACATTCGAGGAAGATCTAAATGCGGCCTTCCCGGACATACAATTTACGACGGAGGAGGAGGTGGACAACCAGCTGGGCTTCCTGGATGTCCCCGTATAGATAGATAGATAATTTTTATTAAAGACCCGTCGGGGTCCCATCAAAGCAAGTTAAAATAAATTTGCATGCGAGTTTTAGACGAGGTATGCCGAATGTTTACAAAATGCAATCCATAGTTTCTAAATTAGAAGTCCATTGAGAAACATGATGATTGAGGGGTGAAAAAAAACTCCTTACAAAAAGTTAAAAAGGATTGGATTAATTTTACAGGAGAAAAAAACCCTCTTTATAAATAATAACAGAAAAAAGCGAGCAGGCCTGGCCTGTAGGTGGCGGTATATAACGGAATGTTTTCGGTCATCGTCAGGGTATCATTAAATGTCCGCCTTGATGGGTACGAATGTGGGTCAGACAGGACTGGCTTGCAAATGGCATTGTATACGGGATTCACAATTGAGATCGTCTGGGCCTGATTGGTACGCCGCGTCAAAGAGGCCAGACGAGAGGAACCGAGATTCGATCGACCACAGCACGCTTCGAGCTCAGCCAAGCAGTGAGGAAGGGAGGTACGACCGAACTACTAGTAGACAGTGAATACTGAGGGTTCCGCCGTGAGTGTCGACAGACCGCATGAGGTCGGAATGCGGGAGATGACATCAAAAACCGCGAAAATTGTCGCTAAGGGGGGGAGGATAGCGATGGATTTAGAAACCAATTAAAAACAGGGGATTCTAATGATATAATTAAGAGTTACCACTTAATCTACCACTAAATCCCAGGAGGACCCTTCTCGAAGTCAAGAATCTGAGTGTTCGGGAATGAGACCGTTAACAGTGCCTTTATGCTTTCCGGTGTAAGATGGTTGCGTAATTTCGACTTGAATATCAGTTACCTAGGGATAATCTAATTTCAGGCGGAAGATTATTCCAAAGGAAGGCATATTTGGAAGCAAAGAAGAGGGAGCGCTTAGATGTAGTACAAAGAGGCGGCGGAATCACCATGCAGGAGTTGCGCGTGGCATAAGACCGATCTCTCGGAGTGAGAGTGTCAATGTGCGGAAGACTGGTTGTGGTGGCCTAAAGACCAAACTGTTCAATAAAGCGAAAAAATACGGCGCAAATGCTAAACTTCAACAGTAACCACCCAATCAGTCACAAACACAGTTGTGCAAGGACGCTCTTTCGGCGTGTCGGAACAGACTGCATTGAGCCGGAAGTCAAGATTGTCGAACTACAATACCTTTGACGGGCTTTCAAAGCCAGTGGCTGCCCGCGCAACTTCGTCAACCGGTGCATACGCAAAAGCGACAAAAGGCGCAACCGCACGGACACCAGATTTTGACAAGCGCTTCCGTATGTCAAGAACGTTTCGGAAGCTGTTGGCCGCCTTCTCGCACAATTTGGGGTTGGATTTGCACACAGGCCGGAGGCAACCCTCAGGCGTCAGATGATGAAAGCTTAAGACCCGCTGCGACAACAAGAAACGCCTGGAGTCGTTTATCGGATTTGGCGCAGTTGCGGACAGAACAACTACATTGGAGAAACCGGAAGACAGCTGCGAACGCGAATGGCCGAACACGCTGCAGTGGTACGGCGAAATGACGTCAGCTCTCATGTTGCGGCTCATTCGACGAGATCCGGCTACACATTTGACTTCGAGGTGGCAGAAATTCTCTCAAGAGGTGACAACCGCTTAAGTCATGGTCTACATGCCGCCAGCCCATTAAAAAGTGCAATGATCATTTCCTTCCATACTTAGTGCTGAGACTTCGCCTAGGCGGAGTAATTGGCCACGCGGGGAGCGCAGAGGTGAACACTTTCACCAAAGCCAGGGTCGGTGTGTCCGATGCTTGAACAATCATCCCACCAACATCCAACGCAAGTGATGAAACTGCAGCAATTAACGACGCAAGTGTCGGCAATCAAACAGTCAGCACACAAACTGCAACGATCCTTGATGAAGGAGTGGAGCCGTGAAAGTTCATAGGTATGCGGCAGCATGGCGACTGCAGCCACATGTGCATGAACTACCCGTATCTGCTTTTGTCTATGCTGATGGGTTCGAGCAGGAATCCGAAACGTCAGGCTAATAAAGCTGTTGTGCCAGCCAGCATGTCTCCTTTTTCAAGATTTGGTCCGTCCTAGATCTGTCCCGGCTATCAGTGCCTCATAGTTTTCAGCCGTCACTTTAATTAACCCGAAAATTGCTACTTCAACGACCGGAGTTTAATTTCGCGACCTGCATACGGTCAGAAATCTTAGACAAGGGCGTCATGCATATTTATTTTAAACTATACTACTCCACAGTCACGGGAGCAATCAGTCTTGCGTTCGAACGCGATGATTTTTCTCATGACCTATATCGCTAGTCCTCCTTCCATTTTATGCGGCCAAGCTGGGCAAAAATTGGTATTCACGGTGAATATTTTCGGCATGCAATATTTAAAACTGCAACCAAGTCTAGGTGATGGAAATTACATCCGACTGCGTATCCGTTACACACGCTTTCAACTCACTCAGCTTCTGGGACAAACTCATGGCATATATAAAAACAAAGCGGAATTTAGCCCGGATAGATTATTTAGCGATTTTAGATCGCCGTTACCGGATATTTCGTTTGGGGTGTGCTGTTTGATCGAAATGAACGTCAGTGTGTTGACCGTAATTTTTGCCGCATAATCAAACTTTGCTAAAAACGTAAAAGGCTCGCGCGATCGCCTGCATCATTTAACTGGTGATATTTTCTGTACTACAGCGGTGCGTGGAAAGCCTCGCCTTGTTTTTCACGCCGACTACGCGATCCTTATGTGGGTCCAAATTTGGTAAAGTGACGTCTCATGCAACTGATAGGTGCGTGCGCTTTTTGATATCAAAGAATAAAGGTAGTGTATTGGCTTATATAATTTGGTCGAAGTCCTCAGCGTATCCGTTAATCCAGTTACTAAAAACTTCATCGGAACATCACACTTTTAGGTACGTTTAGATAAGTCTGTCAATTCCTAGGTTACTTACATGTATTTATCGCTTAATATCACTGCTAAATATGGGAAGGTGCCTGCTCCAGTTTTAAATCTTGAGAAATGCCAATGTATGTAGATGTGCGATCAGACAGTTAGTGGTCCGCCCAAAAAACGCAGAAACAGTCTTGTAGTGAATGGCATTGCGCGTATTAGATATATGTACAGCGTTAAGGGACAACTGTGGCGGACAAGGATGTGAGATCAACTTAAACCACGCACAATAAGTTCATTTCATCTAATGACAGAAGTCAGGGAACTGTGAGGACTAGTTTATTCTACACACAGGGCAGGTTGCCGTAAGTTGGCTGTTTGCTTGCGACAGAGATAAGCGTCCGTTCACAGAGAGTGTCAGTCGCGGTGTATTGTTTTGGGCGGGAGTGAGTGTCGCGCTCAGCAGGAGGGGCTAACCGGCTGAGTGTTGGTCGTGTGAGTAGACAAATTAGTGGAGGAATGGAGGGCCCATGCTCACAAGGCCCTACGGGTATGAAGCCAGGGCGCTCGACGTGCGTGAGGTGATGAAAGTTGGTGCGGTCAACCGACAGTCACTGGAGTTGAACCGGATGTGTCCCAGTTCTAGCTGCCGGGGATGGCCGTGTGTCAACAGCTGTTGCGGCCATTGTTCGAGAAAACGGAGCTGGAGAAAAGAGAAACTGAAGCGGCTGCTACTCAACCACTATACTGAGGTGGCCTAAATTGTGCAGCTATTCTGCCGATGTAATTTTTGTCGGCTGTGCGTTTAGGAGGATAACATTCGTGAATTGATGCGTTGCGGATTCTATATGCACTCCTCTTGATTAAACACTTTAAGCCGCTTTAGATGAGAACCCTCGTGTTTTCCTTATCACACCTCTTAAAGCCTGCTTTACATCTCTGCCCATGACACATAGTACTCATAATTTTCGAAGAGGATAGGGCTCATGCAGAAGTAACAGATTATTTTTTAAGGTTTATGCTAATCTCAAAGAATTAAATGCTCAATGAAGTTATGGAAACTGCTGCGATAAATTGTCTGAATTGCAATAACATTTTAACATGTTAACGAGAGTAGGCATTTTAGAAAGACAAGACCAAAGACGCTGGCAACCTGGCTGCGTTCGTATGTCGTCCAGTTTTGGGATGATTTTTGGCGGCCCTGTGGGCTGTGTTCTATGATCCTGGCTGGCCGACTTGGCTATGCACTGTCGTCTTGGCCCCTGCCACGCCATGTAAAGGGGGGTTTGCGGCGTTGTCCGCGGTCAGTTAACACTTGTGGATGTGGGCGGCGTAATAATTAGGTGGCCATCGATTCATGATTGGGTGGAAGGTTACTGGTGCCTAGTTATTTTTGCCACTTGAATGCTAAGCCTATGCGGCAATCGTTACTCAAGCATTTTGATGAAATCATGTTGCATAAATAGCTTAGTCTCGAATTATAGGTGCGTTATTTGGATGACACTTGTATCTGCGAAAGGGCTTACCTGAAAACGTTTCACAGTGTTGTTGTTTACTCAGGAATTTTGTTTGCATTAGAAAATGAAAGGAACGGCAATCTGCTTCCAATTAACGTCTTTAAAAAGCGAAAATCTAACGCCTAGACGACAGGCTAAAATCTGCTGTTATTTGTTAGAGCCAGACCCTTACATATCTGGTGGAAAATGAATGTCTTTAGTTTTTTTAGTTTAAGTAATGAATGCGATATATTTGCTAGTGTTTCGAGAGTTCGATTGTCGACTCTCTCAATTACTTAGCAAGTATAGTGTCCGGACCCAATGGCTTTGCCTATTTGAGATTCTGCAGCTCTCTTTAGAAGTGCTAGATTGCTAACCGATCAGGTCCGAAACGAGTTTCTGTACTAAGAAAGACCGATAAACGTTGACAGATGATCAGCTTTTACCTCATCTTCGACGAGGTTTTCACATTCTGTAGACCTTGCAGGGGTATTGAATCTTCGTTGCGCGTTCACTGTCTAATGTAACCGTAGAATAATTTTGGAATCGCTTTGGCACAGTAAAGCAGATCCGGGACGAATGCCCGTCTTTTTCTGAGGAAAAGACCATTCACC